AAGATGGCCGCCTGTGCCATGGCGCAGCCAACCGCTGTCATGTTGTTGAGGTACGGCTGCGAGTTCTGGATGTATCTGTGGAGGGATGGAAACCATCAGAGCCCCAAAGGGGCTTTGCAGCTCAAAAGGTTGCCTCCACGCACTAATCCCCTATGCCCAAGCTGCAGAAAACACCGGAATGGAAACCATCAGAGCCCCAAAGGGGCTTTGCATCTCAAAAGGTCCAGACCTAATTGCCTCCACGCACTAATTCCCCTATGCCCAAGCTGCAGAAAACACCAGACTGAGGGAGCTCCACAACCTCCTAAAGCTCAAATGCCACGGTGGCACTGAGAAGCTGCAACCAGGACCCAGAAGAAGTTGATTGGGCCCTTGCATGGAGGACGGGGGCCGAGGCCAAGGAAAAGATTCAACAATAAGGCAATCCCAGAAAGGGACATGAGAGTGGCTGCAAGCATCAAAGGTGGGCAGCGCAAGAGCAGAGGCATGGGAAGAGGGGGACACCCACCTGACATGTCCATTGTAGATGTTGAAGGCCAAGCAGATGATGGCCAACAGGATGCCCAGGCTGGACAGAACCGAAACAGAAATGAAGAGCTTCTGGGAGAGATACCGGAAAGTGACGATAACTTTTGTGTAATCAGCAGGTTGGGTACCCCCTGCAGGACATGGGGGAGAAGAGTATTACTCAGGAGCCATGCCCCTCACCCCAACATAGGACCCAAAAGGCTCTGTTACCTGTCTTTCTCATACATGGAGAAGAAGAAGAAGAGTAGGTATTTATACCCCGCTTTTCTCTACCTTAATAAGTCTCAAAGCCACTTACAATCGCACTCCCTTCCTCTCCCCACAACAGGCACCTTGTGAGGCAGGTGGGGCTGAGAGAGCTCTGAGAGAACTGTGACTGGCCCAAGGTCACCTAACAGGCTTCATGCAGAGGAGCACTTACAACCGTACTCCCTTCCTCTCCCCACAACAGGCACCTTGTGAGGCAGGTGGGGCTGAGAGAGCTCTGAGAGAACTGTGACTGGCCCAAGGTCACCTAACAGGCTTCATGCAGAGGAGTGGGGAATCAAACCCAGTTCTCCAGATTAGAGTCTGTCACTCTTAAACCACTACAACATGCTGGCTCTCATGGCACCACATGGTTTCATTTCTTGTCTCCGCAGCTCAGAAGACTGATTCAGTTTGGCCTGTTTGGTATGCTGAGACTGCCATGCGGTCGAATGTTTCTGTGTGGCATTCTCCCTGAACATTTCAACACTGCAGCTGGCTGTGTTCTTCTGAACCAAGTTCTGAGTGCAGGGATCTCTGGCACAAACCAAGCCATCTTCCTAATACCTTGCACACTCTTCCTCTATGGGACCTCTCAGTGCCTCATTCTTTTCCTTGTACTATGCTCCTTGGTTCTTCACCACACTGTGAAACAATTTACCGTACTCATCAATAAGACATTCTTGAGCACCGGCATTGCCCAAAGTCTACTAAAGTCTCTCTCAGATGGTCTGAACTGGAGATGAGATCACTTCCATTCTGCAAAAAACAAACTCCTAGACCCTGATGTTCCCCAGTCATTTGGAGTAAGATACTCTAGCTGTAAAAGTCTCCCTCCAGAATTAGATCTTTGTGTCTTTAAACCTTTCTGGTTCAATGGAGCAACCAATGCCACCATACCTAGATCTTCAAGCCTCCTATGGAAAGAGATCTTCTCACCCTTAGATCTTTTCATTCCCCACAGAAGTTGAGTCTCTCCTGCCCACAATTACCTTCTGCGACTCATCCCTACATGCAGGCAAGCCCTTGGCCTCTTACCGATCCATTTGACATTGCTGTACCACGAGAGGTTATCCTTGGTGGTGTCGTAATAGCCAATCTTCTTATAGACGCCATCTGTTGGCAGAGGGAGAGCATTTCAGACAGTAGGAGGGTCAAAGGGCAACGATGTCCCTCCCACCCTCAGCAAGAGCTGGTTGGGAAGAGGCAATCATAGAATCATAGAACGAATTACCAGCTGTCAATCCATTTGAGTGCTGGAATTAATAATCAAGCAAATTTAATAATCAGTAATTCTGGGATGAAGCAATGGATAATTTTGGGCTCAGGAAATTATGCGTGTCACAGCCTCTCAAAATCAAATAGCTGTCAACCACGCAACCGGATCCATACAGAAGGAGCCACCGAGAGTTCCTGCACTGCAGACACGGGCCAGAAAAACAACCCAAAACCAACACCCCTGGTACAATCAACTCACCCTGCAGTTGTTCGATGAGGGTCCAGGCCATCCGAGAGCCACTAGCATCAAAGACCACATGTCCCTGATGAGGGAAGGGAAAGGGAGGTGTCAGTGCAGTCTCCCAAAGGTTCAGCCGTACAGCTAGGCAGTAGAGGTCTGAATCCTCCACTCGCACTCTCCAGGAGGGGCTGGTTTCTTTTGCAGGAAAGTGCTTTTTGGAGGTCAAGTATGAAAAATGCTTGACAATGCAAGATTAGAAGACAGAAACTGGTCGTCAAGTCTGCTGCACCGCTGATTCGGCTCTTGCCAAAAAAAATTGTGTGTGTGTGAGAATCCCAAACCCAAGGCAGAATTTAGACACTCTGCTTTCATTTTGAAACAAAATAGGCCAAGGCTTTGTCCTCAACGTTCTGCAGATGCCTTAGGACAACACAGAAGACGCTTCTGCCACAAGACACTGTGGTCACGTGGTACAGCTTTTGCCCAGAGCTACCCACCCATGATCTTCACGCAGCCTTCCCTTCCCCATAAATCTCACACAAGTACACGCTTTCCCGTCGCTCTCCTCTTGCTCTTTACAAGCCCACTCCATCAAGAACAAATCTGCAAAAACTCAAATGCTAAGTGGAGGAATGGGATGGAAACTGAGCCATTAAAAACATAAATAGGCCAGTTCTGCATAATTACATTTGTTACATAACTAAGATTTTTTTTTGGTCAAGCACATCTGTTCCTGTACTGTTGCAATTCTGCACCCCAACCACCTACATTCTGTGCTCAGGAGATCCGGGTTAGGGGGGGGGCACTCACCGAGACTCCCTCAAAGGCTGAGGAGTTGAGGGCTCGATAGATCTCGTCTGTAATGGTCCGGTTATTGTAATTGAAGTCTTCCAGGCGGAGGCCCTTCTTCACCAGCTCAGCGGAGGTCTTGTTTAGCGCGAGGGCCAGGGCCCAGATGGCATCATAGGCCAGAGGCGCCTCCTGGAAGCCACCTGTCTCCTCAGGAGATTTCTCCACACGCTTTGTTAACTTCTCTATGAACTCTTGCGATGTCTGGAAAGAGCAAAAGATAAAGCTGTCCTCCTTCGACCCTGTCTGCAGGGCCCCGTGACCAGCCTTCCTACTAAAGGAGTCCGCTTCAGGACACCCGACGGCAGGCATCTTTTGTTCCCTTTGGAAAACGCCATACACAATGATGGCCCCCGTGAGAACAAATAACAGCAGTGCATTTGGGCAGCATTTCTCTTGCCGCCAAACAGATACAGCCAGCATTTTACACATCCAGGAATGAAGAGCAAGGCCTCTGAGCCAGAGAGGTTCAGCTTCCAGACAGGCTTGGGAATCTGCCAGGCCCTCTTTTCAGAAATCAACTCACAGCTCACAAGCATTCCCCAGACCCCCCCCCCGGACCTTCCTCACCATATTGGAGATGCTGCGGGTGTTCTCCGGGTTTAACATGACGATCTCTGTGGTGATGTGCCCCTCCACTGCCTCCGTCATCTCCTCCTCCGTGCAGTTAATATTCGCATCCTTGATGCGGAACCAGTTATCAGCATACCAGCCAATCAGGAACCAGACGTACTTCTTGCCAAACAGGCGCTCCTTGTACACCTGTCCCCAGGGCCACAAAAGAGGAAGAGTGAAGGGTCAAGCAAGAAACACAACAATCCACTCAAGGATAGACATTCATCTTGGCCCCATCTGTCTGCCTGCTGATCCTTCCTGGCACTTACCTTCCAGGTAGGTCTCGATCCTTCTGCTTCCTACCCACAATTCCATCCTTCCTTCTATACTCCTTGGCATAGCCAAGAAGTTCCTCCCCACAGATGCTCTAGCTAAATAATCCACCAAGTTTACTCCTTCATTTCAATGATACTTTGTAAGCACTAGAAGAAGAAGAGGAGATTGGAATACCCCCGCCCTTCACTACCCAAGGGAGTCTCAGAGCGGCTTACAAACTCCTTTCCCTTCCCCTCCCCACAACAGGCACCCTGTGAGGTGGGTGGGGCTGAGAGAACTCTGACACAAACTGCTCTTTTTCAAGGACAGCTCTTATCAGAACTACGGCTTGCCCAAGGTCATCCAGCCAGGTGCAAGTGGAGGAGTGGGGAATCAAACCCGGTTCTCCCAGATTAGAGTCCGCACACTTAACCACTACACCAAACTGGCACCACTACCATCTTTCCCCTCTAAACAGTAAAGTTCATGGTCAGCTACCTATTAGCAGGACAGTGGAATGCAACCACCAATGGACAAGGCAGACATTTTTGCATACTCAGGGGACTCCCCATGTATATTACTTGTAAATTTAAAAAGACAACAATCAAAATAAAAGGTCCTGGTGAGGAGCCATCTTAGAGGCATAAAATGTTGAAGACAGGTGAGAATCAGGGTGTGTGTGTTTTTTTTTAAAGGGAAACAGACAGGAATTGAGAAATTGGACCGTACAATTCCCTAAGATCTTGAGGTATGCTGGAGGGAGAAGAGTTGGGTTGGGAAGAAAATGCTGCTTCCCACCCTCATGATTCCTTGTGGGGCCCCACCTTATTCCTTTCTAACAGTGAAGCAGAAGATGCTGTCCATATCCCAATGGCCTGATAATGGCTGAACATGTTTACTGCCCTCTACAAGGCCTCTAAAAAAGGTAAAGGTAAAGGTTCCCTTGCTCGAAAGCCAGTCGAATCCGACTCTAGGGTTGCAATGCTCATCTCCATTTCAAAGCCGAAGAGCCAGCGCTGTCCGAAGACGTTTCCGTGGTCATGTGGCCGGCATGACTAAACACCAAGGCGCATGGAACGTTGTTACCTTCCCACTGAAGTGGTACCTATTTATCTACTTGCAATTTCTTGCTTTCGAACTGCTAGGTTGGCAGGAGCTGGAACTAGAGACGGGAGCTCACTCCGTCATGCGTCACACTCGGGTCTCGAACTGCTGAACTACCGACCTTCCACAGCCTGCAGTTCAGCGTCTTAACCACTTGAGCCACCGCAGCTCCATAACAAGGCCTCTACAAGGCTCCAAATTTTGAGGGTAGGTGAGCATCAGTTAAAGGAAGATTCAAGAAAAATGCACCAAGGTGGAGAATCTGGCCTGCTTAAAACCTTAACTGCTTAAGGTATCCTGTAGAGGGAGCTGGTAGAAATTTCCCAATGGTTTATCCCCTCCTGCCTGATGGGAGAATGGGAAAAAGAGGTTTAGGGGGTGACTGAACCAACTCCTGGGTTGGATTTATTGTTCATCCCTATCCAGGCCTCATGAAGTGGTGGCCTATGAATGCTGAAAGTGGACAGAACAGAAAGGTAGGGAATACGAGCAAGGCATTATGGGAACTACCAGACCTTTTTCCTTTCTTTCTTTTTTTTGTCACTGCTGGCTGTGTAGAAGAATGCCTACGCCAGCTCATGATTTCTCCCAGGAGTCTGTCCTCATTACTTTCTGAGAGCAAATCATGTGGTGGTTTGTCCCACTTTTCAAGCCACTCAATTTCTAATGTGCGCTTGAGACACCAGAACAGGAAGCGTCTCTCAGGACCTAACTAAAGAAAAATGTGTATAACAAAACCACAATTGACATTTTTAAAGGAAAAGAAGGTGGCGGTGGGTTGCGATTTGGCATGGGGGAGCAGCAAATTGGATGTATGTGCTGTTTGTCCCACACACCCCTGCTGGCAGCCAGGGGGAATTTGGCAATCCAAGTCTGCGTGTGTGAGGCAGAAAGGGGACGGAGACATCACATCCGAAGGGCCAGAGGACAATCCCCCTGGAAGTGTCCAGCTGGGAAGCCAATTTAGTGGGCAACTATGTGCCTCCGGGGGGCCCGGGGTGGGGGGGAAGGAACTGCACAATCACGTTCACTGCATCCTGTCACTCCCCGAGACAGCCTAACAAACGGCCACCCTCTGAGCCGCTCACCTCACAGAAGACCTTCCGCGCCTCAGTCTCATAGAAGAGCCCGACAATGATGCGGGCGTCCTGGCGCTGAAGGAAGAAAAGCGGATCAGATGGCCAGAAGACATTCCCACAGAGACAGATAACGCCAGGCACAATGAAATATTAACCACAGACATGTCAGCATGCAGTTTCACTGTCACACACACACACACACATATACCAGTTTTGTGTACTTGTTTTATATGCCTAGCAGAAATCAGTGCTACTGACGCCTGGCAGCAGAGGTCACAGATCTGATTAAGAAATTCTGCACTGTATACAAAGAGGGTCCCTCACAGCCAGTCCCCAGAAAACAGCAGGGATATGGGTGTCACACGTTCTCTCTCCAATATGTACCCAACTGCAATGCACACACGCAGCCTTGGATCACATGATGCACCAATGAACACACGCCAAAAAAGAAAAAAAAATGACCCTCCCATAAATCCAGACACACAATTTGCTGTCCATCTTCCCATAATAGGGTTGCCAGCTCTGGGTTGGGAAACACCTGGAGGTTTGGGGGGGGTGGAACCTAGGGAAGGTGGGGGTTTGGGGAGAGGCGGGACCTCAGCAGGGTATAATGCCACAGAGTGGACTCTCCAGAGCAGCCATTTCCTCCAGGGGAACTGATCTCGGTTGGCTGGAGATAAATTATAATAGCGGGAGATTTCCAGGTGCCACCTGCAACTCGGCAATCCTATCCCATAATCATAGACACGCCTCCCTGAGTACACACTGAAAACATGCACGAGAGACATTTACACCCAAAGTAGCATGCAAGCCACACCAAAACGTACTTTAATGCAAATAGCGAGGGGAGGGGGCATGTATTACAAACTGTCAGCATTCTTAAATAACAAAAATGGGGGTCAAGGCCTACTCTAGACCAGCCTGTGCCTGGGAAGAATACTTCCCAGACACAGGCTGGGGTAGGTCCAGCCCTGGGGGGGGGGACCCCTTTGTGTTCCCTATTGGCCTGAATGTGTCACAGAAACCTTTCTGTGGCTTACTATAGAGGGAGAATAAGCTATGCTTGACTTGTCTCCCAGAATTCTCTGTTTCTCTCTTCCTATATGTGGGTTCTTAAACTGATAAACAGCAAAGCTTGCCAATATATCGATTCTGCGACTCTATCACAGCACAATGAACCAACATAAGAACTGTCATGCTGAATCAAACCAAATATCCATTAGGGCCAGCATGTTTCCAGGAAAGGAAACCAGATTCCCTTGGAAAATCACAAGCAAGGGCATCAAAGTTATCTGTTATTTGACTTAGGGATCCAGTACTCAGAGTTTAGTGCAGCTGCTTATGGAGGTTCTGTGCAGCTGCTTATGGAGGTTCTGTTTCATGATAACTACTCAAATTTATCCTCTGTCAATGTGTCAATTAAGAAGCTATCAAAATTACTAGGATCACCCTTTCTTATGCACAGAGTTCCGTAAGTAGAAGAATAATAGTTTATTTTTATGCTCCGCTTTTCTCTACCTTGAAGAGTCTCAAAGCAGCTTACAATCACCTTCCCCTCCCCACAAGCACCTACCTTGTGAGGTAGGTGGGGCTGAGAGAGTTCAGAGAGAACGGTGACTGGCCCAAGGTCACCTGGCAGGCTGCATGTGGAGGAGTGGGGAATCAAACCCGGTTCTCCAGATTTGAGTCCACTGCTCTTAATCACTACACCACACTGGCTCTCAAGTGTGTTATACATTGTGTGAGGAAAGGCGTTCTTTAGTTTCTCCGGAACCTACTGTTATTCACACTGGCACACTGTGTGGTCAGAAGAACCCAGGTCGGAATTTGGCATGTTTTGGGGGAGGGGCTGTGGCTCTGTGGTGAAGCCTCTGCTCGTCATGCAGAAGGTCCCAAGTTCAATCCCAGCCATCTCCAATTGAAAGGATCAGGTAGTCGGCAATGGGAAAGACCTCTGTCTAAGACCCTGGAGAGCTGCTGCCTGTCTGAGTAGACAATACTGACCTTGATGGACCAAGGGTCTGATTCAGTATAAAGCAGCAGCTTCATGTGTTCACGTCGGATTCTTTGGAAGAAGCCCAGGAGAGAGAGAGAGAGAGAGAGAGAGAGAGAGAGAGAGAGAGAGAGAGAGAGAGAGAGAGAGAGAGAGAGAGAGAGAGAGAGAGAGAGAGAGAGAGAGAGAGGGAGAGCCTCTTGTTTTTTTGTGCTGAACTTGTGCTGATGAAACTGGTGTTTCATCAATGATTAATAAGCCACATTGTGCCTGGTTATCTGATACCATTATTATTGACAAGCAAATTGCCCAGTGTTACTGCTGGTCTCCAGTGGGGCATGCCATATGTGTGCTCCAGCTTCATAGACTCCGTCTGTGGACGGTAGGCAGTAGCACACCTGGAGCGAGAGGCAGATTTCTGGCCCAGCCAAACTGAGTTCCATAGTCCTGGTTTTCTCCCAAATCTACATATACAGAAAGGTAACAAGCCACATAATTCTGGGCTTCGCTGCCAGACGCCTACGGCAACTTCAGCCTTTTGCCAAATCAATGGCGGCGGCTGATGTCATGGTGGCAGCGGCGGCAGCTCTTCCCTGGGCAGAAGGATGGGAGTCTTCCCAAGTATTAGCTCAGACGGGGGGCCGTTGCCACCAGAACGCCAGGCCTTGCAGTCAGCAGAAGGCTGCGGCTGTGACGGGTGAGTGACTGGCGGCACATAAGAACCTTTCCTTGGCTGGGAGCACAAGGCAAGGAGGAGCAGACAGGCACTGAAGGCTGGTCTCTCCCTCCAGACACCACCACTTGTCCATGTGCCCAGTGTGAGCTGCTAGCAGAAGACAGGCCGGTCCCTCCTTCCAGAGGCTAATGTGTAGGACACCAGGAAGACGATCAGTTAGATGGTGCCTCATGAGGATGAGCATGTAAAAGATGGACCAGAGGGGACAAAAATGACCATGCAAGGCTTTGCTGCTCTACCGACATGCACCTTTAAATACGCACATACACATAAACAAATGGCTTGGTGCATACATGAATGCTCAGCACAGATACAGATCCACCATGTACCATTTACTGCAAACTGCACCCCCCTCCCTACTCACCCACCCTGCTCCAAATTCCAAAGCCTTGGAGGAACCAAAAATGTGCCCCATCAAAATGTCACTGACATTCCCCCCCACACACACACATACCGCCTGATGACCCAATGCTGAATTCTAAAGGCCAGCCCAAAAACTTCTTTGGAAGAGTATTTGGGTTTGGACTTTGGGGAGTCTACAGTATAAAAGAGTCCTATAATAGGGAGACAAGAATACCTTTTCTATCCTAGCAAACAAGGATACTTTGCTTTGCACCCTTCTTCTGCACCTGATGCACAGATGATAGGAATCGGAGGGCCCCCTCGGTGGCTCTTGCAGAAGACACTTCCCCACCACCACCATCAGTCATGGCCGGGCCCACGCCACTCACCTTGAGATTCTTGACAGGCACAGCGGGGTCTGAGAAGAAGCTCTGACGGAAGGTGATCTCAATGCCAGCCTCTTTGACTCGTTCCTCAAGGTCATCCAAGGTCTGTGGGAATGCAGAAAGAGGCATCATGACGGCAAAGCGATAGGTGGTAGGGATTCATTTAGAAATAATGCTCAAGGAAGGGGGACCTCATAGTTAAGAGTTAGGTTTTTTTTTAAAAAAAGTCCAGGTATCTAAGTCTCTGCCGTTGTGGTGAAATTCGCACAGAATTTCATACCTGTGAGAAAATGCAACATTTCAATATTCAGTTTTCATTCGTGAAAAAATTCTGATTTCCACGACCATGAAGATCGACTTGAAAATGTGGAGGAGCGCTTAAGTAAAATCTCAGAAAGGTGTGTGTGTGTCATCGTTCTTCATGGGACCGGAGCTCTTCAAAGCCTGGCAGAAAATGTGTTCTGATCTTAAGCACAGAGTATGCCCACCCCACGGTAACATGTGCTTTTGGTTTAGTGGCAGAGGATGAGGACATGGATAGAGGCAGGATTTGAATTCAGGATGAACGTTGGGGTGAATTATTGTTTGAGGTCATGGGGGGGCCTGCAATCCTGCATTTAAAGAAAACCGAACTGTATAAATGGACACTGCATCCATGTTCTGCAATTAGAATTAGGCAGTTAGATCAGTAAAATGACACTAACAAGGTAAATTTTGCAGACAGCGGAGGGGAGCTAAAGATGGAAGGCACGGAACAGTGGTGGGCAGGGAAAATGCCAGACTTGGAGACAGAGATTAGGAATTGCAGGAAGGGAACTGGAGCTGCAGTGAGTGAAGGTTCTCCCCTAGACCACTAGAAGACAAACCTTCCTCTGTCCCCCCCTCTCCTTTATTTGTTTTCATAATAAGGTAACAGTACATATTTCAACAGCACAAGCCATCACACAGATGGTGAAACCAGGTTAAAAAAAGCAGACAAAACATGGATCAAAACAGACAAGGCACTGGGAGGTCTATGACTGGATCTCCCCACAGTTTTTAAAATGGTACTTATCAGTAGTTCAGGGCCCCTGCTTGGACTGAGGCTGCTGGGGGGGGGAGAGGAGATGTTTATCTCTGTCTCTCTCTCTCACACACACACAATTTTGGCATCAAATACAACCTCTCCCCAAGCTGTAATTTGACCTAAAAGGAAAAAGATGGTGCAGCCTATCTTTTACTACCATTTTCTTTTTTAGAGCTAATAATGGGGGTGGGTGTCAACTGGAGAAAGTGCACTGGGGAGAGAATGAAACCCCCTCTTCCTCCCTGCCCCATGGGGCCCTCCCAAACCAAACAGGGCCCCTGACATTTGCAATTTAAAAACAATGGATGCATCCAACCACGGATCTTCTGATGTCTTACCTGTTTTGAAACAATGCATATTACAGCACTTCTAAAGACAGACAGACACACCCTGCCCGTGGTCTAAGTCCTTCATCTTTTCTTGCAGCCATAAGGACTAGACACTTGGGCCACAATCCAACATAAAGACTTCAGCATGCTTCAGAGCAATGACACTGAATGCACTTAAATCCATGACGGACTGTGACTGTAACTGTAGGAAGCTGCCTTACGCACCAAGCTAGAACAATAGTGCATCTAAAGCCACACTCTGTATCCCAGAACTCCAGTCATATTCATTCCTGAAAGACTCTGGTTAAAGACCGAGGTTAGACCAAGAGTTAAAGAACATGATCGAGCAATCGGAAGAATTGCTGAGCTCTGAGGGCGACAGTGGAAATGTACCATGATGAGATGGAGGGCTACAGCCCATTTGCCAATCACAGTTCACACAAAAATAGCCTCATTTGCTTAACATTTGCATTAATGTGACGGACATTGGGAACACAGCTGGTGGAAAGGCTCCACTTCTTCCCCAGTGCCATTTGTGCAATTTCCCTTGTCTGAAAACTACAAACGGCAATTCTTCTTAGGACATCTTGGAGAGAAGTAGCACTTAACTGAGATCTCGGATGACATTTATTAAGATTCAGTGGGGAGAAAAAGGCCTCTCAAATGGGCATCTGAAATAGAGAACAGCCTGGAGGCATACTAACGGCATCCCTTAATGTTGCCTTATTTCTCTTTCTTAACCAGTCCCTTCTTTCAACCCACCATGCTGTCTAGGTTCAGACTGTAAGCTCCTTGGGACAGGGATTTGGGGGGTTTGGGGTGCTTACATTACTCTTTAGAGCACTGTTTCAGGTGGGCAGACATAGAATCATGGAAAGAGGCCATACAGACCATCTAGTCCAACCCCCTGCCCAATGTAGGACCAGCCTAAAGCATCTCTGACAAATATTTGTCCAGCCTCTTCTTGAAAGCTGTCAGTGAAGGGGAGCTAACCACCTCTCTAGGCAGCTGATTCCACCTTTGAACCACTCTGACCGTGAAAAAGTTTTTCCTAATATCCAGCCGATACCTTTCTGCATGTAATTTAACCCCGTTGCTTTGGGTCCTATCCTCTGCTGCCAACTGGAACAGCTCCTTGCCCTCCTCCAAATGACAGCCTTTCAGATATTTAAAGAGAGCAATCATGCCCCCCCCCCCCATCAACCTCTTCTCCT